TGATGATGGTCCAAACCGCTGGGGAACTCGGGATGAGATAAATACTGAGGGGCCGAGAAAAAGGCCAGCTGCTGGTCAAAGGTGAAGGCAAAGTCGGAGTTGTCGACGACGGGATCGGGTGAGACAGCGAGATGACTCTTAGACGTCAGGCTGTCTGTATGGGGTACTATTGGAACTGCTATGCTCTCGCTATTTGTGAGTCGGCTGGGTCCAAGACATAGACCTGACTGGGAAAAGGAAGAGAGAGGATAGGGGATGGCACGTACCCGTGTCGGGTGAGACAAGACTCGGATCGTCCTGGTTATCGGTTCGCCGTCGTTTCGGAGAGCGGCGTCCGCTCGGGGTCGGATTGAGCTGTTGCTGCTGGGACGGGTTGCTATTGTTGTTGATATCCGCGAGTTGTTGCTGACTCTCCCCTAGTTGCTGTTGCTGCTGTTGTTGGTTCTTCCTATATCTCAAAGAAGGACTCGACTTGCACTCTGTCTTGAGCCTCACGCATCTCTCGCAGGGCTCGTCGTTGTATCGTCTGCAGCTGAGCTTCTGGGCGTGACAGCGATCACAAGCCTTGCGAATAACCGTCTCGGCCATAGCTTCTCTCTTGAGGAGTTAAGAGGAGGGCCGTCAAGACATGGGGTCGAATTGGTTTAAAGAAAAGGGGCATTTCTATTCTTGGGAAGATGAGCTCTATCCACAAGGGGGACGAACGATCCTGCAATGCAGGTTCTTGCATTGCTTTGGTAATACAGTAACCGCTCTCTCTTTTTTACCTCATCGACGCCGAGCCATTGGATCGGATTCCCCCTTACACCGTTAGTTAGTTCGAGATATCTACCTGGCTTTAGGTAAAGTAGCATAAGTTAACTTAATGTTTAGAACAGACTTTAGGTTAAAATTTGACTAAAAGTGCCCAGTCTATTTTATGATATCATAACTGCCTTACCTCTAGTCAGGTAGACATCTCGATTATTGCTGGACCGCCTGAACGTATCACGGCCAGGGTACCGACAGCATCGGATCCGCCTCACTGGCAAGATATAGTAACGAGATGCAGCACGACACACTGTTTAGGCGAACTCTTGCATAAGCCTCCCATGATCCCATCTCAAGAGGGAACCTTGGAGGGAAGTGAAGGGGGCAATAGACAGGAGGTAGAATCAGCTATACTTCTAGCTGTAATGGAGTCGCTGATCGTGTCCTATACCAATGAAATGAAGCCTTTACCTCGTCTTTCCCCCAATAGCATCTATTTCTAATTAATCACGTTCTCACATCACGGCTCAACAAGCGGTCACGTCTTTCGTCACTTCTCTTTAACGTATCACAACATCACGCCTTGTACGCCATGGCCGACCTCGAGGATTAGCATGCCGTACAACACGAGACATCATCTCCCAGCTAGCCCTGTTTCTACAAGAAGCCTCATTTCTTTTCTTTCTCCTTCACCGCAGGTTCAAACAATAGGCTGGGCTGATATATCGGTTCGACAGTATATATCATTGGAGGGCACTCGGCGAGCTGCAGTTGCGTGTGGAGGCTGGGAGGATAGGTTGAGACTGAGACTATGGTACTTGATGGACAAATTCAACCAATAGAATAATTACGGTCGAGAATCAGATCTTTAGGAGAACATAAAACCTTAGGCGAATAACTTACTCATATCGGACTAGGTACCAACATACCTCAACATCAATATCTAAGTATCAAGCTTGTATACCCAAGCCACGCCAACCTCACCTCACTTCACCTCATCTCACCTCACCTTACACCGTCCCCATGTTCTCCACCCCAATATCAATACGTAATAAGCGTCTTACCCCCTTCCAACCTAATCGTTCGATCGGTTACATCCGATCTATCCCCACAGTCCTTTCCAGCTAAGGTTTCCTTTTTCGCTCACCTCCATCGTTTAAAGTGACTGCATAAAAGTGAGGAGCCAAGACGTCAGGTGAGACATTGGACGGTGGCGTCCAGTCGTAACTCGAGCCTTGCTGGTTTATTGTTACTGTCTCTCGTTACTTTAACTCGTGGGCTCTTCGTCAGACGTCTCACGGTTGCTATTCATGTTATACTGTCGACTGTACTACATTAAAAGCCATGTCGGCTATTTACCAAGACACATGTTCACGATTGAAGATAGAGGCGAGATTGTAATCAAATAATTCTTTTTTTCAGATGGGGTGGTATCTAGTATATGCACTCTTTCGTCAATCTGAGCAAAAAACAAAGCTATCTGTGCAGCAGATCCTCAACGCCCTCAATATGCCAGACAAAAACCAATAAAATACAAGGGAATCCGTCCAAGTCCTAATCATTCCTTCGTTGTTGTTTTAACGCTTTTAGACGTCACCAGTCTTGAACAACTCGAGGTGCTGGCGATCACGGGGAACACCGTTCTCCTCGAGGAACGCCCTGACGCTTACCATCCACTCCTCAGGACCGCAGATGTAGTATTCAGTCTCAGGGCTGTCGAGCTTAAGAAGCTGATCCTTCTGGAGACGGGCAAGGTCGATCTGGCCCTGGAAGTCGTACTGGTCGCCCTCCTTGACGTCCTCGAGGAAGATCTTGGCGGTGATGTTGTCGTGCTTCTTAGCAGAGTCCAGAACGTGAGGCACGAAGCAGGTCGAGCCAGAATAACGGGCACCGTGAATCCAGGTGATGGGTCGCGAGGCGGTCTCAGAGGCGAGGACTGAGTCGAGGATGGAGATGAGAGGAGTGGCGCCAACACCAGCGGAGAGGAGAACAAGAGGCTTCTTAGCGGCCGAGGCGTCGGCTGGGTTGAGGAAGAACTCTCCAGCAGGAGGGCTCAGCTCGACCTCATCGCCGACGTTGTATCGTTTGTGCAGTCTGGTGGAGACAAGACCAGCAATCTTACCAGCAGCAAGATCCTCGACTGATGGTTCCTCAGAAGGTCCCTCCAGCTTGACGCTGACACGGTAGTGGTTGGTTCCAGGGGCCTCGCTCAGACTGAACTGACGGCTCTGGAACAGACCATCGAGCTCAGGGATGGGGATCTGCAAGCTGACGTACTGACCGGGGAGGAACTTGGGGAGAGGCTTGTTGTCGGTGGGCTCAAGGTAGAAGCTAGTGACGGAGTCGTTCTCAGCCTCCTTCTTGACAATCTTGAACTTGCGCCATGTCTGCCAGTCTCCAGCGCCCTCATAAAGCTGACCCTCTCGTTGGATGAAAATATCAGCGAGCTGGCCATAGGCAGCAACCCAAGCGTCCTTGATCTCGTTGGTCAGGGCAGAACCGAGAACTTCTCCAAAGGCACCGACGAGATGGTGCCCAACAATGGGGTAGTGCTCGGGTTTGATGAAGAGTGAAACGTGCTTCTGGGCGATGCGCTCAACGGCGTGAGAGAGCTTGCCAAGGTCGTCAATATATGTGGCGTAGGCGAGAACAGAGTTGGCAAGAGCAGCTTGTTGAGCACCGGTCTGCTGGTTGCGGAGAGAGAAGTAGTTCTTCAGCTCAGGATGGGCTCCGAGCATGTTGCGGTAGAATGTTGTGGTGATAGTCTTGCCATGCTCCTTGAGGACTATGATCAGTTAGTATGCAGAACTACCAATAGAAGCACTGGTTTATTCACTAGGAGCTGTGCTCTTCACGATCGCGACTTGTGCTTGTGTGAGAGCCATTGTTTGTGACTTGATCTGGTCTGAAGCGTGTGTATAAGGATTGAGGAGGAGTTGAGAAGTCAATTGTGTCTTGTTGATAGACTAAATGATACCGAGAACAACGACGTCAAAGTGGCCATGCTGTGGACTCTTTATACACTACCCCCGGAGAACCAGTCAAGGCGCGGAGAAAGACCATTACGCTGGTCTCCTATGCCTCCCGGGTTCATGACCCTATCCTCCAGGCCAAGCATCATGCCATGCGAAAAACAATAACTCATGGCCCTGACTACAGCGCCGGACGCCGTGTGGGTTCCTGGATCACCGACCGATCTTGATAGTGGTCTGATGGTTTTGGTTAAAGCATCTCCGCGGGCGAAACGGTCGCTAGCAAAGCGCACTGAGATTGGCGCTGGTGCATCTTTTTTTGGGTACGATTTTTTGGGTTAGTTACCGCTTTTGTCGATATGTTTCATTCGATCCAAGCTGATGGGAACCTAGGGCCCCAAATATGTATCGTATATCCCAGGCTGGTGTTCCTTCGTGATAGTGCCCCGCTGTCTTGCGTGTAAGTTGATAGCAATATGCCGGTACAGAGAATTGACGGTCTGTACGCTTGCGTCATTTAACAGGAGTAGTCTCAATGGTTTGGCTGATGTGTAATTCCTTTCCCAGTAACTTGACTCGCCAAGGAATTCCTTGCCCAGGCTGTCAATTGATCAGCCAAGACAATTGACAGAATGCGCATTTCACGGAGAAGCGGAAATGTCACTAACTGACCTTAAATTTTTAGATGCCACGAGCTTGGGACACTCAATTTTCTGACACAAAGTGGGCTGACACCACAGTAATAAGCTTCGGATCACCCCGGGTTCTCGAAGATAGATCGGAACGGCTCTTGCGGCTGTAACGGGACGAGTCTGGATTTATCGACAATGTGACAGCTGATTGTTTTCTCGTCAATATTCGAGTTCCAGCAACAGGGACCGTACAGGGAGCGGAATATCCCCGCGCGAATCATCTTAGCAAGATTGATAAGCGTGATCCGGGAATACTACCGATTGTGATGTTGAAAGCTGGATCTTGGTGGAGAAAGACGCAACATCAAGGTTATACCTGTTTATCATGTTCCGTATTGCTTCGGATCTTAGCTTGGTAAGCATTGCATGAAAAGCTGAACAAGTTAATAAGGTCGAGATGGAATCGTTCCGCACTGCTTGACAATTGCCCGCCTCCTGTTGGTCGAAGGATGGTCTCTCAATCCATCTCGATGATATCCACTACCGTAACCATCCACATCCCACAAACAAGCTGACTTTGGTAAATTCAACTCCACCACGATGGAAACGAGGGCTCATAGCTTTGTTTTCTATCATCTTTCCCATCGGCCGCGTGGCCTAATGGCTAAGGCGCTAGATTTCGGTTCTTGAGCTCCCGAACTCTCTAGAGATTCCAGGTTAGTCTCACACTTCAAATGCTCCTCCTCATCAAGGCACTAACATCTTAAAAGGTTCGAATCCTGGCGTGGTCGTATGATCTGATCAAGCTCATCTTTTTTTGCTGGCTTTTAATATTGGCTCTTTGCATTACCCTTGAACATCATTGCCCTGTTTCGATTCAGCTGAATGAGTATATCCGAGGTGTCTCGGCAAATAATCGACACAACGAGAAGTTATGCCAAAAAGTTAGAGCAGACTTAGACTCATATTTACCTAAAATAAGGTACCAAATGTATTTGGTCATCTCATAGCTCTTTTACCTAAAGTTAGGTAGATATCTTCTCAATCATTTGCCGGGCCGCCTGCCTGGGCGGATTGGCCTCTCAATTCACCAGTGTGTTGCAGATGTTGATCTTCCAATGCTAATAATGAATTCGTATTTTGCTCTGGTAATTGGGTATTTTCGCAAATCCGCTCTGAATGTTTCGCCATATTCCTCATCAAATCGAGACCAATCTTATTTCCTTTCCTACTTCCTTGGTACATGTACGTTCCAATACGAGTCAGAAGGATTCTGGACCACGTCAATTGAACGACATCCAGGGTGCCAGTGGTCCTCCTTCGTTCCAAATGGCCACATGGCTATAACGGATATCTCATCCGGCGTACAGGGCTGTGGCTGCTTCCAGATTGACCACCCGAGACTGTCCTTCAGTCTCTGTATGGCAACGCGACCATCTTCAACCGCTTTGTTCAACTCGGGATTGTCTTTACGGTCGCCTGTGATCCGATAATCATTCAAGCTTGACCCAGACGCCTGGAGCAAGCGGCTGCGAACCGAAAATAGTTCTTGGCATATCGTGGCCAAGACTGTGTCGATAGATGTGTATATCAATTCATCCTCGAGACTCCATCGCTTCTTGGCCAGCAAGACTGGTCTAAGGTAGTGTATTCTGCATTGCTCGATACCGTCGGCGGTTCGGTTTTTTTCTTGCTCTGTCATGGATACGTCGTCTGGTAATGATGGTGCATCGACCCAGATCAATGTAGCGTCCTCAATCTCGTCAACGAAGTAGTGTGATGGCAGTGACTCGTATGCCATGAGAGCCAATCTCTTGCTATACCGGTCGATGATGAGGTCCGCCACACCTTGCCAGTTCACGGTGAACCTTCGGGGCTGCTGCCATACATCCTTGAGATATGCCTTGATGTCTTTGAGCTCGTCCAATGTTGCCGCACCAAGTCTCATGAGGTCTGGTCGCTCTGCGATGGTGCTGGAGATATTGATGGGAAAGAAAAGCCCAGATACCATGGAAGAGAAATCAATTCGCAGTCGGTCGCCCGCGATACCGTTATATCGTTCTCCAACGGCCCTTATCCACTGAAAGATCCCCAAACCGACATTTCCAATCATGTTGTCAATTAACTCCGTACGCGTCATACTGACCAAATCCAAGCCGCTGTTAAAGTCGCATTTAATAATCTCGACACCTATTTCGATCCGAGAAAAGCCATCAAACCCCCATTTTGTGGCTATATCGCATAAATCAAGGGCTCGGTGCCATTCGTCCATTTCGTCTTCTTTTGTATTGTTCTCGCGAAGAAGGATATCTTGGGAGTCAAGTGTACCCATTTTGGTCTTTCCAGCGCTCATGCCGTCAATTAAAAGGATGTTCAGCTCACGGTTGGCTTGGTATGTATGAAGGTATCCGCGAAAGTTCACGGGTGCATTGTCGTCTGGATCGCCAGGGTCATAGTCGATCTCGCTATGTTCGCTGCGCCGTCGCAGCTCTTCGCGGAACTCTTGGTCTTCAGGCGGACCTTTCCCTTTGCCAGGCTTCTTATCACCGGGAGGAGGTCGAGTTTGTGGAGGGCGCCGTCTCCGCCTACCCCTAGAAGAGCGCGCAAAGTTCTCAGCATGCTCAATGTCAAAGGCCAACCACTCTGGCCCAGAAGGCGTCACATTCTGTCGAGAGCCGTGATAGAAGATAGCACCCTCAGGAACAGTAGCTGGGAAGAAGCCGAACCCGTTATGATATAATGCGGAGCCCCATTGCCGACCTGCGGAATGAATCGCATTGAAAACCATGTGCGCTCTATCCCTAGCATATTCGTGACTCGGTTGGATTCGCTCAGCTCCGTCGTTGTGACCGCTGGCGCCGTTGAGAGCGAGCGACAAGACGCTCAAAACGCCAAATGAGGGTTTTAGAACCATTCTGGCTGATCAGTCCCTGCTGAAATGATAGTTGTTTAGTGTAGATTGAGGCTTACATGACTTTTATGTCAGGATGCCTCACATCAGCAGAGTCAACCAGTTTTTGTCGTTAATAGCCAACGTAGTCAGCCGCGCGGCCAGTCAGACTGCTGATCCCTGTGCTGACATCCACACCCCGTGATCAATATCGGAGACCAATCTTATCTGCGTGAAGATAACTGATCATCGCTAGATTGATAAGGACTTGACGAATGTTTGTTGTGTCAAAGAGAGCGCTCGCAATTGACTGTCAGACGCCAGCGCACGGTATTCTGGCTAGCCAGTCAATACTACAGGAAGTGTTAGAATGCTCAACCGGGCGCCTTTTCGCTCATGACACCCCATGTGTAGCAGCGTCATGCTCTTCATCTGTCATGAATAATGTGCCAGCCTGTGGTTGCAAAGCAAAAATCGATACGCTATGGTGCTTCAGTGTTCTCATTGAAGTGCGACAGCTGAGCATATCGCACTCTTCATGAAAGTGTTGCAATGTCCATGAGGTTGCCTAGGTTGGCAACACGATAAAGCTCGGCCACGTATGCTCATGCCATTGACGATGCCATCAGGGTCTTCACCATGATTACCCATGAGGACCACGAAGCATGAGAGCATGGGGTTATGTGTAAGCGCACACCGGACAAGGGTCTCAAGGGGCCTGTTGGTACAGGCATAGGTATAGGTACATGTAGTACTTGGATCGTAGGTTCCACCGCTCAAGCTCTGCTTGAAACTCGAGCATTCGACTGATAGAATCGATGCGCGGCGCTCGGAAGTGCATCCGTTCGCGTCTTGGATCTATTGGGTGACCTCGTCCGACAGCTTCTGAACCACGCAGCCACGGCAGATCCAATGAACACGCTGCTGAGGCGCATGCGTAATGCCGGTAGTGGAATGATTGGCACAACATCAGCGACTCAACATGTTCACCGCCGGTCTGCGGTCAAGGGAAGCCGAGACTAGGTAGCAATTATAACCACCATGAAGCTTTGATGCATTGAGCAGTGAGCAAAATGGCAATTCGGTGAGAGGGGTTAGCTACAAGCCGCCCTTGAAGCTCAGGATGGACCTGGAAAGCCATCATACGATTGGAAGGCAGCTGACCGAAAACTCGAGACGGTGAATAAGTTGATAAGCCGCAATCTGTAAGAAGGTCGTACGAAATGCTGTACATATTCAGCGAGGCGGCTCCTTTTCAAAGGTGTTGTGCAGGCAAGCCAATGGTTGGGGATCGAATTTGCTGTCAACATCATTTGAAGGAAATGTTGAGGCTGAGCAATGAGTCTGAGGACCCTGAAAATTGAACGGAGTATTGAAGGTTTATCGAATCGGGTTAAAACTGTCTGGATCAAGGCCACGACGAACGACCCTTTATCGGCTTGTACTACGCCAAGCACCAGTAGACGAACGCCCACAGATTCGGTAACTGACACACATGAATGAGTATCCAGGCTGATGATACCATTGAACAAGGGACGGGACGAGTTCCTTGCATATTCGGCTAAGATAGTTCCATCAAAGATGGTTGAGGATCGAGTTGACTACCTAGCTACCTTAGCCTTAGTTGAGTCTTCCCCGGGCCCTGAAGACGGTGGGGATTCATCCAGCGGCAGCGGGGGCTTGTTCCGCCCGGGGACTGGCCTCCGCCCGCCTCTGCCATTCCTGTGGGTGGAACTTGTCCCCAGACGCAGTGGACACTTGCCTCGTGGGACCATCAACCTTTCCCCATCCCCCAGCTGAAAGCGGGCGCGAGCAGCTCACGCAATTGATACAGCGCGGGGTTCGGGTACCTCGGTTTAGAGGCTGTTAAGACGTACAGTAGTGCACTATTGACAGCTTTCTTTGATAGGTGACAGCTCCAGGAATAGAATGAGCTACCCTGGATTCGAGCTTAGAATGTTCCATGAGGCTTTAATACGGGTAAGACATCTATCTGTGTCGGCCGAGACGATCTGCAACCGCATTTTCTTTTGGGAAACACTGGCATTGACTTTGGGAGGGACAACATTAGACTTTCGAAATTTACCTTTGCAATTACACAACAGCAACTCAATGGAAATGGAAACCTTGAGAAAGTATGATCCGATGATGCTGTGGCTGCACCCTTGACTGGTCCAAACTCCCACCCATTCCGTCCCTCTTTCCAATCCTGTCTTGTCAGTGCTCAGAATTGGATGTCACTTGTCGCTTCTCATCTTGCCGCTCTTCTCTCTTCTCCTCATCCCCTCCCCTTCATCCAAACCTTCAGACAACAAATGCTACATTTGCGAATGTGACGCCGTACCTGCATCAAGCACGTTGGCGGCGCTTAAATTATACTCCATTATCACCGAAAAGTCGTGGATTCCAATGACTTTTTTCTTTACTTATTTTTCATCGTAAACTCGCAGTTCCACGATCCGATTCATCAAACCCGGTGATCTCATAACGCATATCAGACCACGTCCTCATTACCTCACTTCACTTCGCCTTGTTCTCCTGACCCCCCCTTTTCCGTGATCCCGGGCTCGTCGGCTTTGATAATTCGATTCGATTTCGTGTTATACTTGATAACAAGTAAATTATCGCCTCTACGCCAACCACTTTCCTATCTAGTAAGATAAGATACTGCCAGGAAGCCGTCGTCAACTGACATGCAGGTGCGCCATCACAGCAGCAGAAGCAGGTGCCACTTGCACCTTCCTACGCCCGCTGCAGCTTCCATCCACATCCTCCAATTCCTAGAGGCCTGACCACCTTTTTTCTCTTCTCCCCCCGTGTAACTTGAATGAGGAACCGTCATCCATTGTTTCTCTAATACGGGCAATCATCTAAACACCAGCCAACGTGATCGTCGTCCTT